GTCACTTTGCATGTTTTTTTGATAGCCAGTCCCAGCGGGATTCACGCCAAGAAATGTATGAGACCAGATCAAATGAGATCAAATGTGAAATTCATGATCTCAGCGGCCAGTCTACAGATGCTAGTCACTCACAGAATGCATCTTAAGCTAATTACATTTAACTCTCTATAATTAACTGATCACCGCATCTGTTCTCTCAGGCCAGTCACTAATTTTCAGAGATGTTAGTTAGTGACTGTCACTACTCACTTGATGATATACACACTAAGCTTTCAGTTGCTGATCTCGGTCTCATTAGATGCTTATAGATCTATCAATCAGTCATTATGATCTCACTCTGTGTTAGAGACTAATTATAGACTTGATAACTGCAGTTCTTTCTGTCAGTATTAGAGACTGATAGTGAGTTTGTAGACTCTAGTCTATCAGAGTACTCTGTCTAGAGTCTAGATATATATCTAGACCTGCTAGTTAGATGATTTTTAAAATCATTCTCTATATTTGAGAGAAAGCTAGGCTCTGATAACAGCTCTAGTTAGAGACTTACTTAAGTAGTATATAATCACTACATTAGACTTGACTCTATATTGTTAGAACCTTGATAAATGTATAGTAAAATAGTGAGATATTAGTATCTCATATCAGCTCTGATAAGTGTTTGCAGAATCTCACTTAACTAGTGACTTGACTTACAGTAGAGAGTTCTACCTCATACTAAGCCTTACTAATTAGACTCAGCCTCTATTACATGAGAGCTTTCATGAGTAAGAAGTGATAGATGCTAGTGATGAAATTCGAACCCATGCATCTCTAATGTGTATAATCTTAATTATTAGTCTTATTAACTAAGCCACGCTGGCGTTGATTCTTAGTGTTGTAGAGAGTAGTTATACAGACTTCTCTTCTTTCTTTCTTCTCTTCTTTCATAAGAGATTAAGAGACTCTTCAGTCAATCTCTTTATAACACTCAGTCTGAGTATTTTATAAAGCTTTTCTATCTTCTCTAGTCTCTTTGTATCTGTTGCTCTAATCTTCTTAATATAGTCTGATCTGTGAGAGAGTCTGTCTGCTAAGTTCTTAGTTTTCTTAATATATTCTATTTTAAATCAGAACTTACTCAGTCTCTGAACTCAGTGAATCTGCTACTGCAAGAGTTTCTTAATTGAAGTAAACTATTATAAGCTATTATAATCAGTTCTAATAATAATCACTGTTATAAGACTCTTAAAGTAGTGATATCAGTGATAAAAGAATTTCACTATTATAAGAAGCTTCTGATTATAAATATTATAGTTAATCTCTATATATTGTATCTTTTATAAGAAAAAGATCACTGAAACTCAGTTCTTATTTAACTGTAGTTTTAAGACTATTTCTGAAATTATAAAGAAGAAGATATCTATCTTCAATCTAATTAAGAGTAAGAAATCAAAGTGAAACAGTATTACTATATTTCTAAATATCTGTTTTAATCTTATAAAGACTCTGTAAGCTTCTAAAATAAGAAAGTTCTTACAGCTCTCTCTTCTTAATAATCTTTTCATTCTCTATTTATAGAATGACTTCTTCTTATTTTCACTCTTCAGTATATCTGTAAGAGTTAAGAAGATTCTTATAAATGCAAAGATAAATTATCTATAGAAATTTACAAAGCTTAGAAAGATCTGAATCTTATGAATACTAGTTAACTTCAGTTATAATAGAATAGTCTTAACTTATAAAGATTTCATCTGAATATCATCTGTGATAATTATATATTCTAGAAAATTAATCTGATGAGTACTGAAGTTATACTTTATAAGCTTAATATATAGTTCTGTCTCATCTAAGATCTTCAATACACTTTATATATACTCAGTATATTCTTTCTTCTTTATAAAGTACATTATTACATTATTCAGATATATTATCACAAAGATATTCAGATATATATGAAGTATTTTATTAATAAAAGACTGAAATGCTATAGAGATATTAGTCAGATCAAAAGACATTACTAGATATTCAAATAATTTCAGTGTAGTTCTAAAGACAGTCTTTTATTCATTCTCAGACTGTATTCACAGTTATATATATATATTAATTATATTCTGTTATATGAATATGACAGCTTTTATAAGACAGTTAATCACATTCTCAATCAGAGATAGAGAGTAGTAACTCTTTATTATCTTAGAGTTTAGATTATAATAGTTTATATATAATCTAAGATCTTTATTCTTCTTCTTTATAAATATTACAGAGACTCTTACAGAGATTTATGAAGATTAAATAAAGTCATTCTTTAGATTCTTCTTTATATAGATCTGCAAGACCTCTGTCTTATAATAAAAGAGCTTATAGATTAATTCTTAGAAGAGTTTCTACTCTTCTATTAAATCTATTATCAGATTCTTCTTACAGTGAGAAGAAAGCTCAGCTGTCTTTACTGAGTGGAATATCTCTGTAAGATCTCAGTATTTCTCTGATATCTGAAGCTCAGTTTTTATAATTATAAGATTCTCAGACATTTATAAAGTTATTATATAGATAAGCTTATCTTCTTTAATTAACTCTATAGTATTAACTGATTCTATTTCTGTAAGTGAGTTTATTAACACTGATTAGAAGTATAAACCTGACTTATAGACAGCTATGTATAAATTATATCTTTAAAGTTATACAAGTTTCAAGTACATGTCATCTATAATATTTATAATAATCACAGTTTCTATAAATCTTCTTCAGATTTCAGAGAGATCTTATAATTTAAAGATGACTCTTATAAGTCTTTTAGCTCTCAGATCTGAGTTCTCATACTCTGCTTATTATAAGAGTAGATTTCTAGTTTTTATTATTTAGCTTATTCACTCTGTAAGCTTTAGAAACACTACAGTGATCTGAAATTCTGAGTTCACTAATACTTCTTATACTTACAGAGTAGTAGTACTGCAGTGTAATCTCTCTCTATAAGTAAGTATTTTCATTAAGAGAGTAACAGATTCAGATATCAGCTTTAAAACTCTTAAGAAGACTGTTACTGACTCTGTTCATAACTCTTTAAATTTCTATTTTAATTTATTCAGACAGTTTGCACAGAGATATTCTAATTTAAAATAGATGAAGCAGAGTTTCTTTTTCTTAGTCTCTCTATTATATACTCTGTTTATAGAAGCTTATAAAGCTCTCTCTCTCTGCTTAGTAGTCAGATATAAATCTCTTTATATCTTATTATCTTTCTCTAATAAATCTGTTCTCTGTTATTCTGATTCTTACAGAGCTGATTAGTAATTTACTCTTTATAAATCTATAACTCTTACAGTAATCTGTAAGTAATAAATAAGAGTTATCAGTTTCTTCAAAGTTAAGAACTTAGAGTCTTACTTAATAAGCTTATTTTATATATCTTTATTCAGTCTCTTTATAAATATTATTATTCAGATCTTATTTCAGAATTCTGTTTTCATTAATTCTAATTTATATTATAATTTTATAAAGTACTGTGAGTAGTCTTTATCAGATTTTTCATCTCTTTTTTTAATATTAATAATCACAGCTTAGATATTTTTTATTCAGCTTATAAAGTCTCTTAATTTATTCTCTAGATAGATCTTAAGAATAGATTAGTAAAATCTCTTATAATTATTCTTTAAATAATTCAGCTAGTTCTTGACTTCAGTGTAGTAGAGATCTGTTATTATATAGATAACAGCTTTTTCATCTTTTATATTACACAGTCAGACTTATAAGTTAATTTTAAATATAAACTTATAAATGCTTTTATAAATTGTAATTCAATAAGTAATCTTAAGTAGTCATAGCTTAAGAAAGTTTCTTTTCAGTTTATAAATATTTCTGAAAATTATATCTAGAGACTCAGTTTAAGAGTGTTTACAGATAGTAAGTATTTCTTATAGAAAAATAGCTTAATTCTGTAAGAGATGCTCAAGAATATTCTTTACTAAAATTAATTTATTTATAAGTTTAGAGAGTTTCTCTGTCACAGATATAGAGAATAATATTCTATAAGTAATTAATAAGTTCTCTAAAACTTCTTTTATAGAGATTATTCATGATTTAGATAACTACTTCTGAATGTCTATAGTAGAGTTTACAGAGATTAAAGTATATAAGTTTCTAATTCTTTCAGTTATAATAGATAATTGCTGACTGATTAAGCTTGAAATATAAGAATAAGTGCTCACAGACAATTATTCAGGTATTTGCAGCTTGACATAATATATACTATTAACTATTAGAAGTATTCACAGTAGAAAGATAAATTATAGAGATTAAATATATAATAGTATTTAAGCTGAGTTATAAATAGTATTTGTAAACTTCAGTTTATATAGTTGTATATAGTCAAGAGCTGCTAACTCTATTAATTATATAAGAGATAGAAATAAAGGTAAAGAATCTGTGAGAAGTGAGATTTCTTATAATATTTAATAATTTTATTATCAATTCAACTGATCTGATTACACTGTTTTAATATTAAATAGTAGTCTTATACTGTCTCAGTGAGACTTACTATTTACTCTTATTACATTTTTCAAATAAGATTATAATTTTCACTTCTTAATTTAAATTATTTTTATTACTTTAAATGATTTTAAATCTTATTTAAGTATTATTAAAAAGTGTTACTTTTTAAAAAATTAAAAATAGTTTAAAAAAAAATCTTAAAATATCTAAAAATAGTAACTTTATATCAAGAATGAAATTAAATGAAACTAAATGAGATCACTTTCTTATTTTTTCTAAGTCATGATCTCATTTTGAGATCTGATATATAGTCACTTTGTATCTTTTTTTAATGATTAGTCTCAGCAGAATTCACATCAAGAAATGTATGAGACCAGATCAAATGAAATCAAATGTGAAATTCATGGTCCCCGCGGCCAGTCTACTTACAGCAAAGAGTGAGACTATACTACTAAGAGTCAGAGACTCTTCTTATATCTTTTAAATGATTTCAAGTCATTAAAAGATGTTAAAAAGAGTTTTTATATTCTGAGCTGAAATTGACAAATGTATATTAGTTAGCTGAAAATTACTAGAAAAATCTTTCAGTTCTCAGGTAGATGTTATAGTCTCTGACTGCATACATCTATAATTGAAGAATAATAATAATAATCTAGTACACTGACTTCTTGAACACTACTGTACATCTTACAGGCTTTGCCTTTGCTATACTGTAGGCGGAGGAGAATTGGGTCAGAGACTCTCTCTGGCAGAATCAAATGACAGACATGAGGTTGAGTGTTTAAGAGGGAGGAAATGAAAAAATAATTTGTAAAAAATACATCAGGACCCAACTGAATATCGCTTCACCCATCACCACTACACAACAAGCGCACCCACAAACTCCGCCGTGCCACCAAACCAGCTCGAATACCCTTCCAGCCCTTCCCACTGCACCAAAAAACGATCCACAAGCGGCAGAACTATCTTTCCTGATAAACTAAGCGTGGTAACACGTGCCCATGACTCGATGAAGATGGTGCGTAAATATCTTTCCCTGTGGTGGGAGGAGGAGGGCTGCAGTTGTTGGGACGATTGATTTTGGAAGAAGATAAAGAGGAATGTGGAGATGGAGGTGACGGCACGGAGCATTTTGGCAGCCAGGATGACGCAGACAGCGGTGGCGGGGCCGTTTGTGAGGATTATGTTAGGGTAAGGGATTGGTGTGGGCGGTCCTGTAGGAGTTGAAGAAGCTGCTGAGGTTGATAATGAAGGCGGCATCTCATTGTTGTTTTTCGGATCGCGATGTTTGCCTCGGAGAACACATATGCAGACCCACAGGCAATGGAGGGTCGATATGGGCGCTGTCAGGAATGATTGATGTACCCTTCTTGCGCGAGGAACTGTGATAATTGTATATGATGACGGAGGTGATTCTGATAGTGCTTTAAGGGCCGAAGAATCTAGATGTTTCCGCTCGTCATCCTTCGCCTCCTGCAGGTCGCTTGTCCGCCTTGTTGTAGGCTGAGGCTGGATGGGCTCTCCTTTTCTAGAGGTAGTAGCAGCAGCAGCAGTTGTAGGAAGAGAACGTTGTTGCTGCTCAAGAAGGCGCTTCTCAAATTCTACAGATTTGAGGACGCTGAAGGAATCCCCTGAGCTAACGACATAGGTGCGGTAGGTGAAGAGATTCGCATCCAACGGAGCATGTTCTAGCATGGCGAGCATTTCCGCCGTGTGCCCGCCGCTGCCCAGGACGATGAGGAGGTGGGCATGACGCTGTGTTTTTCCCTGGCTTGTATGCCTATTACTGCTGTTATGGCCATTGCTGAATTTGAGATAATAGAAATACGAAGTAATCTGGACGTTTAGTTAGCTAGATTTCCCGGGATTTGAGCCCATGAAAGGATGAACGCAACACTTTTTCAACGAAGAGGAAAACCTTACCAGCAAAATAATTATGGCACTTGTCATAAGTGCGGGGGAACTGAGAGTCACCAAAGCCATTGGGGACGAAGGTGATAGGATAAAGGTGATTGAGCTGCGTAGAATGGTATTCTCAGGGAGAACACAACACCCTCTTTGAGTTCTCCGACTAAACGTCAGGATAGCCCTGGTCCCTTTCGGCCAACACGATAGTCAATATTGAAGAAACTTGAATCATCCAGCATGCGACAGGTGAATAGCTCCTGAGTGAACGGGTGTAGGGAATACACCTTGGATGGTGTCTTTGATGCTCTCAAAGGTCATTCACGGGGTCTCAATGATTCGCATTGTGAGGAATTAACTGGCCCGGCCTGGAAGTATTGATTATCTATGAATGGCGTTTACATCCAATCCGATATTCATTCGTCTTCATATTCATTCTAATTCCTTTCAGATGGTTGAGTTGTATATTTATACCAGCCATGCCCAACCTCCTTTACCACAGGCGCGCCAAGCTCTCGGCGATTGCTGTGTTGCCTGTCTTAACTCCTCGCGTTTATCTCGAGAAAAAAAAGACTTCTGCTCGCCAGCGACGCTCAACCCTCAACGTTTTGTCGCATGTAGCCAGCCATGCCGTCCCTCTTTAAAAAGCGATTGAGCTGCTTCTACTGTGGCCGTCGATCTGCTCAGTCTCAGCCCGAGCCCATCCGCAAGTGGCAGTGTCAACAGTGCCTGGCAGTTAACCATCTAGACGAGGTGAGCGCGTGTTGAGATCCCCACCTCTCCTTGCGCCGATTGATATTGATATAAATACCTGATACTAAACCCAATAGCATGGCGAAATCACCGATCCTCCAGCTAGCGAAGCTTCTTCGGGAACTCGATACACGCAATACGCACAGCCCATCCCCAGAGCAAGCTCCCCAGACCTCCCGGCTCTAGACTCGTCGTTGTTCTGTTCAACGTGCTTGAAAAACCAGCATCTCCTCACTCAGACGCTCGCTTCATACTTGCCGTCGCCGTCGCATCCTGACTATAGTGCCTATGAAGTGTCGTACCCATCGTACCGGAAGAGTCTGGAAGAGCGCTACCCACAAGTATGTGAATCCTGCGAGCCTCAGGTGCGCAATCGCATTCGGCAAGTTGGATATGCGGCGAAGTCGGATCACCTAAGACGGATGATGGAAAAGAGTCGGCATAATCGCCGGGTGCAAGGCTGGAGCTGGAGGAGTATGCTTGTTGCTGCTGGTGCTGTTTGCTTCTGGGTTAGTGTTGCTGGTCAACTTGCCTGGAACCTCATGGGTGCGATGGCTGCCGGCAAGACCTCTCAGAACCAAGAATCCGATGTCTCACTATCTCTGGTGCCATTTTGTTTTAATAGAATCTGGAAGCGCCAGCCCCTTTTCGAGGAATGTTCTTCAGCCCTAACTCCCTTCGCAGGGGTGGCTTTGTTTCTGGGAATGTTGTCAGTCTGGTGGAACCCGAAACTCAGGCATAAGGTGGAAGGGAAAAGCGGACGACTAACTGGGATGGGCGAGTATTACAAGGCCCAACTGATTGTTCTCGTGGTAAGATTTGTCGCATGGGCGTGTTTGCAGGACCCTTCAATTACCGGTCTTAACCCAAAGCTTCCTCCTGCTATCCATGGCTTTATGAGCATTCTTACTATAATTGTGAGTGTAGCTAAATATTGTGAAGTTCTAACCACACAATTACTAACTCATCTCACAGTCTGTGGTTGTGCTGAGACGTGTTATCAAAATTGATACCACACCTCTTGTCTCATGGAAGGATGACATCGAACCTCTAGTATCACAGAAACCAAAGGAGGACCATTCAACCCAGTTACAGCTTGTCAGCCCACCAGACTCCCAAACCTCGTCCCTTGGCTCAGAGCCTGGCTTACAGAGGTTTCCGGTCAACAAGCTTGCACCAGCTGCATCCACTGCCCCAGATCCATATGTTCCCCCGTCTCCCCAGACGGATATCGTTGATGACACTGATGCGATGGACTGGACGCCGTCTCAACAATCACTACAGCTGAATATTACGCCCAAACCTATCCTAGTTCGTCAAAGTCAATTGCCGTCAGCTACGAGGATGCCGTCTTTGGGGTCACGTAACCCCAGCGCAGTCCAGTCCATCCTCAAAGCCCTAGGACAAAAGCCTAATCCCTTTCGCAATGCTCCAGTCTTAAAACCAAAATTGTCAGCGAGTCAGGAAAGCCGAGCTACATCTCCTCTGGAGACTATCATGGCTCCTCCAAAGTTCTTCCCACCAAGCGATTTTGCAAATGACACGGGATTGGAAAGTCTCTTCGACAAAACTTTTTCAATCAGAGACGAGCCGGTAGGTTTGCAGAGACAACAATGGGCTTTAAGATCTGGAGAGAGTTCTGCTCGTTCTTCTCGAATTCTTAAATGCGTACTTCTTTTCATTTCTGTCTTTCTATTACTGGTTGCCAAAGTGCTTGGATTACCCTCAAATTCCGTCGAGACCGCAGTTCTGGGAATTTCATTCCTTGTTGCGGGCTTCTCACTCCTTGAATCCCTCATGAGACCCTTGGCTGCCTGGAGCGCTATCGATATAATTCTGTCTGTTATCGAACTGTTTGCTTGTGTCTATCTAGCCGCGTATCGTCACGGGGGTTCGTATGACCAGTACAAATTTGATGCGGCAGGAAAATCTCTGGTGGCTTTCATGGTAGGACAAGAAATGATGGCCCTGAGCTCATTTTCGCCGCGACAGTCAGAACCATCGCAGCAAAACTCGACGGAACAGCCACCTCAGGACAAAAACTCGCAACAGTCATCAAGCCAATCCACCCAGCATCAAACTCAAGCATACGTAGGTCCCCACAAAAAGGCACCTGGCTTCCCGCCTTCTAGTCAACAAAAGCCCATTACATCTGCCCCTTACCCTGATATCAACCTAAATGTCGGACTCAGAGGCGGAGGTATCGCTCCGTCTACCTCTCTTACCGTCATCAATAACAACAACAGCCGTTTAATGAGCAATTTCAACTATCCTGCCCATCACCACTACACCGACCAAACCCATAACCCTTCCTACAACTACCCTCCTTCCATCTCCAACGACCCAACAGCAACACACCCAGCCCCGTTCTCCTCAATTCCCCGACCACAACCCCTTGTTTCCTCGTCCTTCCCGTCGTTCCCGTCCTTCAACTCCACCCTTCCCGACAGTCTCCGTTTCTCACCGCCTTCAACTACCACAACTACTACCTCAGTCAGTTACGCGTCAGAAACTGCCTCTGAACCCCCCAGCCCCCAACAGAAATATGCATCTCTCCCCTCCCTTTCTCCCGGGCGCCGCATCCCTAGTCCAGGGATTAGTGGGCTGACCTTGGAAGATGATCCGTGGCAGGAGCAGCAACAACAAATGCAGACGCAGGCGCGGGTGCAGGCACAAGTGCGGGCGCAACCGCGGGCGACGAGGTATGCATTGCGGTCGCGTCGGGTTTGAAGTGTTTATTTTCTTGTCTTATAATCTTTATGCGCAGCTCTCTGTTTTGTGCCCTGTTGCTTTGGTGGTAAACCTGCTTTTATGAATCTCCGACCTCCTAACCTCTTCTTTTCACCATTTTCTACCTCTTTTTCTACCTCTTTTTCTTTTTCTTTTTCTTTTTCTTTTCATTTTATCTTCACCGTTATAGACGTTAAGAGATTTCCATACCGCAGAAATAACTTTGTTTTGTAAATCCTCATGAAGCACAGATCTCCCTTCCCCCCTTTGTCCAAACTCTCACATTTCGAGAGCGGATGACGAGAATACGCTAGCGTTTGAAATATTCTGCATTGGCTTTACGTTGCATTCTGTTTGTTCCCCCTATCTTTTCTTTGCGGGTTACTGGGGTATTATTCCGTTGGGTTATAGGGTGAACATTTCCGCTTCTTTTTTGCACAAATTTTTCCTGATATATGTGTATATCCTGTATTTTTTCCTGTTATTTATTCATGAATATCAGAGTATAGAGACATACAGCCTCACCTTGTTCCTGTTTCAATGAATACTATTAGGATGGAAAAGGATAATGCTCAACCTTGAAGTAGTTTCCTTGCCTCGGAAATGCATATGAGATGGTCTCCCTAACTTCTGGGAGAAGGCGAAAGTATATATATATATATATAATAATTTGACACATGGTTCTCCATGATGAACCCGAAAAAAACATATAAACTGGTGACGCAGACCGCCTTTGCGGACAGATATGGCTAACATTTTCAAGTTCTATGGAATATGATTGTCTAAGTTCGCCCGGCTCATGCTCATGTAAAGATAATTTAAGAAAAATTTTGTCTCTTTTTTTCCAATTGCGCTAACATAAATACCAAGAACAGATTACATGCGGAAATAAATTATCTTTGACTAGTGGGATGGGTAGGCATGGTTTGAGGAAGGGGTGGCAGCAGATTTTTAGCTGCTTCCCGGGCGTTTTGAGCCATTAGCGCATCGATAATAACCAAAGCAGACATAGCTTCCACGATAGGGACTGCTCGGGGGACGACACAAGGGTCATGGCGGCCTTTAGCTTCAAGAACACCCTCTTCGAAATCATACTTGGTCGTCGTTTGAGCCTGGCCAATTGTGGCGGGTGGCTTGAATGCCACGCGGAAGTATATTGATGCTCCGTTTGAAATACCTCCCTGTATGCCACCGGAATTGTTAGTTTTGGTGGTTAGTCGCTTTGAACCGGGGGTCTGGCTGTTCTGGTCATCGGTAGTGATGAATGGGTCATTATGGATGGAGCCTGGAATTTCACAACCGAGGAATCCGGACCCGATCTCGAAGCCCTTTGTTGCTGGGATAGAGAGCATCGCGTGGGCCAGTTTGGCTTCGAGTTTATCGAAGCATGGCTCTCCAAGGCCGACGGGAACATTTCTGATAACACAGGTAACGGTTCCGCCTATGCTATCGTTATGATCCCGGAAGTGTTCGATGACCTTGGTCATGCGCGCCGCTGCGGCTGTTTCAGGACACCTGATGGGAGCAAAAGAGTCGACAGTTGGCCGATCGATGGTCGCGATCAGTTTTAAGAAGTCAGGGTTTGTTGTAGGGTTAGGGTGTCCCACAGTCGGGGGAAAGAGGTGTTCGTTCCCCACGGATGAAACAAAAGAAACAATCTCAATGTTGTGCGATAGCTTAAGATACTTTTCCGCAATAGCTCCAGCCGCAACACGACCTGGTAATTGGTGATTCATCAGTAACGGCGGCAATCCTAGGCGCTGAAGCTTGCTTCAAAAATGGTATGAAAAGAACAAAGCCTCCGTTCAAACACACCTATAGTTTCACGAGCGCTACTTCTACCACCGCCACTACTCGCTTTGACACCGTATTTCTCCAGATACGTAAAATCTGCATGGCTTGGACGAGGATAGAGATCCATTGTGCTTCCACCGTAGTCCTTAGGTCTCTGATCCTCATTCCGCACAACCATGCCGATTGGCGTACCCAGAGTGATGCCAAATTCCGTCCCAGATTGTATCTCAACCCTATCCTTTTCGTTCCGGGGCGTGGTGAGAGCACTTTGACCAGGCCGTCTACGTGTCATTTGTGGTTGAATGTCGTCCTCGGTGAGGGCCATTCCCGGAGGGCAGCCATCCACAATGCAGCCAACGGACCGGCAATGGGACTCGCCATAGCTAGAAAATATCCTTAGACAAAGAGTACAGGTGAAATAAGAAGCGAATGCTTACGTGGTCACTCTGAAATATTCCCCGAATGTAGACATTGCGGGCGCGTGGCTCCTAAAATGAAGGAGGGGCACTGAAAGATGTAGCGGTACAGCCTTTTTGCGCTGGCAAACTTCTAATTGATCTTCACTCAACCGATCAAATTAAATAAGACCACGGTTGCAGGTTATATTTTCGAATATATCCTGCGACTCTAGAGAGGCAACAAGAACCATACAGACAGGCAGGTGATCCCAAAAAATAAATCCCCCCGATTAACAAGTTGCTCATTGGAATAAGTTGTTGGCCCTTACGGCCGTTGCGGTTAGCGATCCCACTAGATCACGTGACCCACCACTATATTATGTTCCTGTAGATAGATCTATCAATACAACCTTCAACTATTCTACAGATTATAGCCCAGATGACACATTTTTCTTTTTAGAATGTTATATCAACATTTTTGACATGAATAGTTTATCTTTTTTAAAAAGACTCTCACTCTTTATTAGAGATATTTCATTTTCCCTGAATCTGTCAGTCAGCAGATTTATATACTTTATTTTTTTTTAAGAAAGTATATTCTTTATTGTGAAGAATATTACTTTTTTATTTTTTTTTTACATATTTAGAAGAAGCAGAGTCATCTTAATATAAGTAATATATCTATTACTTCAGAGTTCAGCTTAAGACTCAGAATCACACACTTCACTAGATAACTTATTAATAGAATAATCACTTATTATAAGAAGACTTCTAACTTATAAGATAAGACTGAGATTAGTTTTCATCAGAGTATGAAATTTAATAATGATAAGATAATGAAGAAGCTTCAGAATAAAGAAAAGCAGAGTTAATATCTATCTACAGAATCTGTTTATTTCAACTTATTAAATTCTTCACTATTTCTTATTCTCAGAATGCTGACTTTTAATGATAATCTGAATTAATTTATCTATTATATCACAGACAATCTTATAAATCTTATATAGATAATACTACAGAATTAAATAACTACAGCTGAAATCACTTAATATCTCATCATATCTATCTCTGTATAAAGAGATACTATGAGAGATGAGTTATAGAAATATTAAAAGAAAGTTAAATATACACTAGATATTAAATCAGTAATTATATTTAATAACTCTAATTATAAAGTCTGATGTATTAATATATTAACTGATATAAAAGTTATTAATAAAACTGATATTCTATTGAGAACTCAATAAGAATTTTCTTTTACATGTTATATTAATTCTGAGAAGTGAAGAATTTATTTCAAGTCTCTATATAGATGTATACTATTAAGTCTTATTAAAAACATTTAAATCACTATTAAAATCTTGAAAGCTGATAATACTGTGACTCTGTGAGATAAGATTAATACTGAATATATAATATCACTGATAGAAGAATGAGTTAATATCTTTAAGAAATTAATAAAATTATAAGTTAAGAAGAATGATTATCTTACTTTTCAGAGATATTTCTACTATTTTATTATCTGTTATAAAGAGCTCTGTCAGAGTACTGAGAATATATATTATAATCTTTTTCTCAACAATCTACAAGATTATCAAAGATTATTTATTAAGATATATTTAAATGAGTTTTTCTTCACTGATTAGAAACTCATTATTAACATTAATATTAATGATTTAATGAAGTAACTGATTAATCATATATTCAAGAAGATTATCACTAAGTAGAAAAAGCAGCCTCAGATCAATTCTATAACTGTGAAAAAGAATAAAGATAAGAATAAAGATAAGAATAAAAGTATATCTGTATGAAAGTGCATTCACTGCAGAAGATATGAACATACTGTTGATAGATATTTCATCTTACACTCTGATAAAAAGAAAAAGAAGAATGATAAGAAGAATAATAAGAAGAAAGAGAAGAAGAATAACTTGATAAGTTCTCAATCAGCAGTAAATACAGTAATTATAAAGATTGAGTTCTATTTCTCTTTCACAGTCACTGAAAAATTATTCTCTAGATCTTGATATTTGAACATATGTGTAAGTCTGAATATGACAGATGAGCTTTATTCTTTTTTAAATATCAAATCTTTTAATAATAATATCTCTATTGATTCTGTGACTGAGAGAACTGAGTTTATTAAGAAGATTAGAACTATCATCTTAAAGATTAAGAATAATAATGTTAACTTACAGAATGTTTACTATATTTCTAATATTACAGTTAATCTGCTCTTATTTACAAAGCTTAAAGATCAGAGATTCTGATTTATATTATCTTTTACTATTCTCTTATTTTTCATTTGCAGAGCTCTGAACAGTGTTATTTTTCATACAGTTCAGACTGCTCAGAACAACATATATAAGATTAATAAATAAAAGTTTAATAAGAATCTTAATTATCTGAATAAGACAGTCAAGTATATTACAATGTTATATAAGTATGATTTTAACTGAAAAGTTAATCTTTCTGTGACTGCTGTTACTACTATTAATAATGTTGATTCTACAGATATAAGAACATAGATATCAAAGATATCAAAGACTCTTTTAAATTGATATTACAATCTCAGTTACATTCACACTGATGCTATAATTGCTATGATCAAGAATTCTTATACTGAAGTCACAATTAAAGATTCTAAGACTAAGTTCTTTTGTAAGAAATATGTCAAGACAGGTATAACATAAGATTATTTAAAAACATCAATGTCTAGATCTATTTAACTCATTGAGAAGATTCATATTAATCTTATAGATAATAAATGTATATTAAAAGACCTCTCTGATCATCTCTTAGAGTTCTGTCAGAGAATTAAATACTGAATGCTTATTATCTGTGATGCAACTTACTATCATTGAGTATATTTTTTAAAGTTCAAGAATGAGACTGTTCAATACTTTGAGTTATGACTCAGATTCATGAGTAATCTCAGATATACAGTTTCTACTTTTCTATAAACTGATATTAATAATGTTTTCTGATTCACATGTATGCACACAGTTATAAATTTATATGATATCAAATAAGAATTAACAGCATTATATTCATCATATCAGAATAATGTTTCTGAATATGAGATCTGTACTATTATAAGACAGGTTAGAGCTGCTCTTTTAAAGAGTAATCTCTCTAAGAAGTTCTGAGCAGATATTCTAGAGACAGTGATTATAATAATTAATAATACTCTCATATTTACAGTTCTTTATAACTTGAAATTTTGATTCTCTACTGCAGAGTCTTCTGTGATTTCAAGTTTATATAAGATTTCTTAATATGCACTTATAAATATCTCACTGAATATGAGGCATTTTCACTGATTAAGTGCAGAGGTTTTTATTCACTTGCATGAATTTCAGCAGTCCGCGGATAAGCTCTCTTCATGTGTCAATTCATATTATATTATTAAATTCAGTGACACATTAATATATTATCTATGATATTCTGAATCTGACAAGATTATTATCAGTAGTGATGTGAGGTTCTCAATCACTGAAAAATCAGAACTGGTTATTACATCTATAGTACTCACTAATAATATTAGTATACTGAAACCTGATATTCATCTGATTGATGATGATGAAGATGCTCTTAATATTAATAATCTGAATTTCACATGATTGCAGCTCATGAAATCACTGACTATATACACTTTAAGCCTTATTATAAGTAATCTTCTGAAGTTCTACAAGAATGTCACATTACAGTCAGAGAGAATAGAAGATTATTGAAAGAAGTTTATACAATGTGAGATTATCAATCTGAAGAGATATAATACATGAAGTTTAATCTCTAGATCTGATATTCTGAGAGATGAACTGATTACTTCAGACTGTTGAGTGTTTCTTGAGAAAGATAGACCTGTGAATCTGAATACTGATTCTGATGATATTCTTAGAAAATTACATTGAGTGATTTATAATAACTGACTTAAGAAGAATTCTAGAGAAGAGATCTACACTTCTGTTATCACTGATACTATCAATTGTATTCTTTTTACAATAGCAGTACTATGCAGTTGAATACTCTGTTAAGTGAATATAGTAATAATATATCTTTATAAGCATCTCACTAAGAAGATCTATATAAGATAATTTATCAGATTTAAGACAGATTTATTGAAAACACTTATCAGTGTGATTGAGAATAGTCTATACAGTCTGAACTCTGCAGTAAAGATCTGATATAATTACTTAACAGCTCTGTTAAGTAATCTTGAATTTATAGTCAGTACTTATGATTCAGCACTCTGATATCATATATTCAGATATCATCTCTATATAATAATCTATATTGACAATCTCAACATTATATCTGAAGCTTCTAAGAATGCTGATTGACTAGTAAGTATACTCAGTGAGAAATTGAAAGTCAAGAATCTACATCAGTCAATTAAGTATTTGAGTATGAAGATTAATTATTCAGATAAGAGAATTAATTTAATATATTATCAATATATTAAATATCTTATTAAAGATTTCTATCTTGATAATACAGCTGTTATCAGAATATTAATAAAGAATGAATTTCATATTAATAATTTCTCTATATCTGAGAAAGAGACTGATTTCACAATTCAGTGATATTAATATGATGTGAGTTATTTGCAATATCTTGTAGTTAAAACACATTCTGATATCACTCACACTGTCTTACTACTCACTCAATGAAATGTTGATTCAATATCTCAATATTGAAAGACTCTATTATATATTATATATTATTTGAAAGAAATTATGAATCTGAGTATTTTCTACAGATGCAGTCTGTATAAGAAGTTCATTTCTATTAATCTTTCTGTTTCTTCTGATTTTCTTAATAATTTCTATCTATTCTTCAGCTACTCAGATTCTGATTGAGCTGATCTCTTAAATAATGATAGAAAATCAATATCTGACTACATTTTTAAGCTCACAGATAGTCTGATTTCATGATATTTAGTAAAGCAATCTTGTATATCTCTGAGTTTTAATAAGACTGAATATATGACTCTTAGTGAGGCAGTCTGTGAGATAATATGAATTCAAAATCTTATAATTGAGCTCAGCTTCATTACTACATCTCTGATACAGATTCTCACTGATTATCACGCTCCCGGCCGCGCCAAGGCCCTGTTGCGGTTCCACACAGCCCATTGCTTTCATGCGGATGATTTCATCCCATTCAAACCGGTTTCCAACCACTCTATAACATCATTCAGATGTATCATAGAAAGATCCGATTGATGAATATGAGAACCTCACTTTTATACAAGGTCAGCAGATTACTCTTTCTTGATAATGAGGCGCTGCTGAGGTAT